CCCCCGAAAAAAAAATTATAACTATTTTTCTGTTACTTCTGTTACTACTGTTAAAATTATAACTTTTCTTTTACTTAAAAATCCTTTAAAAATTGTAATTAAATAATTTCAGGAAAAAGACATGGTGTGGACATATGTCTTCAGTATGCTGACCTGTGTGTATACACTTTGTTGCACTGTATTTTTAATTTTTGGATCTGGAGAAGTGCAAAGTTGGAATGAACCTAAAGATTTACCAGTGGCAGAATTAGAAGAATTAGTTTCTTCAAAAGCTAAATGTTAATGAAGAGAGTAAGGATATTAATTATCATCAACAGTTGTCATTTTATAATTGAAGGGCTCAGTAGAACAAAGGGCTATCCCATATTTTTGTGAATTTGAATTTTTAGCATTAAATAAAACTTCAAATATTTTTTATTTAGTGTAATATCTTATTTAAATCCAGTATGGATTTATATGCAAGTGTACTGTGTATAAAAGTGTACAGAGTTATACTAGTATTATGAAAGTTCTGGTAAAACCTTCAATTTCTCAGAACTACGCCAATGAGGGGTAGCCCCTTGAGCAACTGAACCCTTCAATTATTACGACAAAATGCGAATTAATTGTATTTGCAACTCATTAGGATATATTATGTTTATTCAAATAATGAAGAGTGCATGGCCAAATGTATGAAGAGAAATAATTAATTTTTAACTTTAATAAGATAATGTATTTGTACAAGAAAATTACTTAAAGTAACAAAAATTTATATTCCCATTTCTTAACCTTTGTCTGGGAATAGTATACATTTAATACCACATTATTAATTTTTCATATATAAATTTTGCAAGGGGATAATATTGGCAATTAATTTTAAAAAAATGAAATGTACTCATTCATTTGTATTTATAAGTTATTTAATAAAATAAAATCCATGTTAAATAAATTAATTTCAAAACATTCCATGATATGCATATGTTTTACAGAAAAATTATTTATTGCTAAATTAAACCTTTTGTTCAATCATACACACACAATACATATACAAGTGTGTTTTAAATTTTACTTTGCAATGTCAATCCCAAATTTGAAATAAATGTTACTTTGTATTTTATTCAAATCTAGTCATATTCCAATGTGAATTACTTACTATAATTGAGGTGCTCAGGATAATAACGGTAGATCCCAACTGACCTCACATTTTCAGTTAGAAGAATGACGACAAACTCTTGCCATGACATGATGAAAAATCAAATGAATTGGGATATGGCAAAACCCTCCATTCTCACCTTCAAAAATTTGTCCCGAGTGTAAGTAAACATGAACAAAAACAGAAAATGTCATTTTTCTTATAACAAACTTCCGTTGGGATCTGCCACTATTATTCTGAGTGTCTCAATTATCCCATTTCAATTTTTTATTTCCTTACTCTTATTTCTATGTTTCACAGAAAGTTTTATGTACAAAATTTTAATTTGCTGAATAAAAGAATGAAAATATTACTTTTATATCAGTTTATAAATGCTTATTTCTATTGAGGTATGGAAACTTAATATTTATGATGTCAACAGTAGTGTTAAAACTGAATATTTCTTATATGACTATCTTCAGAATATTAGAAGTCTCAAACTCTTATGTAATAGAGCATGATAATTTTGCTAAAATTTAATTTATTAAAGCCTAAATAGACAATATGATTAGTGCTAGAAAATTTGACCTGGACATTCTGATGGTTATATCCAAATTGTTTTAATAATTAACATATTGAACATAAAAAACAATAAATATCTTGAAAAAATTCACATCATTAGCTTTATTAAGTTGAATTCATTTAATGAGGATGATGTTTAAGCAAAGGTCAAAATTGAAAATTTTATTATTTGAAGTGTTCAAAAACTTCAAAACATTTTTGATTCAAATGTATATAAATGATACTAGTAAGGGAACTTGGCTTTGCATATACTACAGAAAATTTAAGAAAAGATTTCAGATATTTTGAGAAAAAGTTAAAAACATGGGGACTTGGACGTGAACTACCCTTACTTAACTAATTCTGTCACACAAACTTGCAGTGGTGCATCTTCAAATATGATTTGGGGCAATTGGGTCAAAATTGGAGCCTAATATATTGGCCAGAATTATGAGGTTTCAAAACTATTCTGCTCCAATGGATAAGGACAAGACTACTCAAGATGCAGGCAAATGTTCCAGTCTTTATATCTGTTGCTAATAGGCTATCTAGTGGCTCTGATCTTAATTTGCTAAATTAAAAATTGTGACCATTTCTTGAGGAAAAGGTCCACAAAAAGAGACTCTGCAACACAGAGAATTTTGTTGGCTTAAGTTGTACATGTTGTGCATATTGTAATGTTATGCAAATTGGTGTAATTCATTTGATGCAATGCTACTAAAATCAAAGATCTAAGTTTCCCAAAGAATAGACATATTTAATAGTATGTATACACTTAGTAGTGTAAATGTGTGTCCTTTCATATCCATAATTTTAGTTTCCTCTTCTTCTCCTTTCCTATCACTATCATTACAATCTGAAACAGTATTTAAGGCAGATGTAATAGTTAGAAGATATATCTAGAACATGCAAATTAACAAAATGAAGAGGTCAATCACAAAACTAAAACCATACACTTAAGAAAATATTATTGAAGAAAAAATAATTATTGATTGACCGATAGTAGAGGAAGTAACAACTGTCATCTATTTACACAATGAAATATTACAAAGAATGAAAAATGTGGATAGTATTAGTAAAATTCATTAAACAGAGTGGATACATTAGAAAGACTCTCCCAAAATATGAATAGGCTTAAAAATACATAACACCATAGGTGATGTCAATATGCAATAAACTGGTAAAACACACAAAAAGTACAAAGTGAAACTAAAGGTAATCAATTGAGGTAGCATTCCTAGTTACTATGAAGTATGAAATATGGATATTTCAAGTAAAAAAAAGCAAATGTCTGATGTCTGGAGAAATCAGGAGTACTACTCGGTACGAAACATGGGAATGGTTATACATACCTAAAATTATATAGTACCTAGTATCAATTTTGAGCACTGTAGGAAAAATAAGTGAGATATTTCTTAGAAAAATTATAACTTTTCTACCAGGAAACCTCGATCAATTTCAGATAATGCTGCACATGTTGCCTACAATATATCACAAGACCAAACCCTCATAAACTTTGGTATTAGTAAACAATCAACCTTTGCTTTCTTCATTTCATTAAACAGATACTTCAATGCATTTTATTACAAAGCTGAAGACGATCCACATCGGAAATTTTTATTACACAACTACCTAGGTTATTGGTGTTTTTCCTCTCACGGTTCCAAAACTTCTTTTTCTTAAAATTGTTCGGTAAACATAGAGAAGTTAACGACCGATCCAGCGAAACATAATCACGCAGAATCGTTAAAATAATGACATCGGTTTTCACTAAAATTCATAGATTACCTGACAGCTTTTGGATGCTACAGCTAGTAGAAACGTCATGAGAAGTTTGGTGATATACAGGCCTCTTCAAAATTCCCGCGTTTCGTACATGCAAGGATGATTTATATAAGAAAGTTATTGTACCGGGAGTATTTGGAATTCAGGCAAAGAGTCTCCAACATAATCGTACAAACATCCTTTTGGGTTGAATGATTGCTTTTCGTACTATTGGTCGATTAAGCAAAAAAATATTTATTATTATTATTATTTCAAAATCATTACGTTTTGCTCTAAGTTGAAGAGTAACATACGAAAGGTCAATGTCTGTATTCACTCTGTAACTTTTTTAGGTTAGTGTCATAATTAATAATTTTAAAAAATCTCAGCATTTCTTAAAAAATATTGTTAAAATGCATTAAGAATAAAATTTGTGAATCTTATAATTTTTTTGTAATTAGTTAATTTGCATTGGTAATGAAGGGCTGTATTTATAATTGTTTCACAGTAACAGTGTATTATGTGATGTGATAGAGGAATGTATGTCACTCCTGTGATGTAATTGAATTGTCAGCTCTTCATTTTTCTTTCAGTTGACATGAAGCATTTACTTTCTAAACTGTTCGGTGCTACATATTGTGCCCGTCAGACACAGAGGGTTTGCTCTCATTGTGTTAGTACTTGGACTTCTTTGGCTACAGCATTTAACACTAGGCCAGCAAGAAAATTGAATTTAAGTTTGACACGGGATGACACTGTATGTTTCCATTATTAGTGTGCAATATCAAGAAAATAATAGATTTCTTACTGCACTCTTTTTTTCTTCTGAATTTTTGTAGGGCTTATTTGGATTACCTGAACTTCGAAGTCATGATGGATTTTATGCAATGAAAGATCATGCAGTAAGGGAGACAGAAAAACTAATTCAAGAATCATGTAGTGCTAATCGGTGTGTATTGTTATAGAAAATTGTATTCAAATTAATTTATCATTTTGATATGACCTGTAAATTTCTTGTCTAGATCCAGAAAAATGGTAGAAATTTTTGATGAACTCTCAGACACGTTATGTAAGGTAGCTGATTTGGCCGAATTCATTAGGATTGCTCATCCTCGTGCTGCATTTTCTCAAGCTGCTGAAGATGCGTGTGTTAGTATCAGTGGCATTGTTGAAAAGTAAGTATATGAGAAAAATTTTATTTCATATAACAAGAAAACATTTATTTAGTTAACCTAGAGGGAAAACAAAGTTACACAGACTAGTTACTGATTTAATGTACAAATCTGGAGAGTAAAATTGATGCAATTTGTGACATCCAATGGTGAATAAGATGTAATTTAAGACAAAAGGTGATTAGGAAGAGAGTTCTGTAACAGTAAGACAACATTGCATGTATTTGTGTGTGCAAATCATTTTGTCCATTGAGCTATTGGATTGCTCATTGTTACCTTTTGAAGTTCTTGCATGATTTTGGTTTGTTGCTGGTTAGTACTGTAATGCATGATGTTAGTTATTGCTGTCTGCTATTTCAGAAATTTATTCAATTTATATTTGGTGAAGAAGACCTGTAAAGGTGTAATATACTAACATTTACCTTCGGCCACACTCCATTGTACACCTAAGTTCTAACTAGTGTTGTTCTGCAAATAATAATGATGATGATGATGATGATTTTGTGATATATGACAAAGAAATGGGAAGTTAATTATTTTGTTTCTTATTTTAGGCTTAATACTCATAGAGAATTGTATTCTGCATTGAGAACAGTTGTGGATTCAAAGGACAAATTTCCAACGACATCTGTTGATGACCATGTATCACGGTTATTTCTCTTTGACTTTGAGCAGTGTGGTATTCACTTGCCAGAGGATGCGAGAAGACGTGTTGTGGAGTTAAATGATTACATTCTTCAGTTAGGCCAGAAATTCATGGCTGGAGCTGTTAGCCCTCGCAGTGTTCCAAAAGAACTTCTTCCTGATAATATTCGGCACTTGTAAGTAAGTTTTGCTTTGTAATATTTAATTTGTATAAATGAAACATGATATCACATTAAGTATGATATTCATGAAGCTCCTATGACTGACCAGGGTTCACTCTACCATACTGTCTCCACAAAATGTGTTTGTGGTTTCGACAAAATGTGTCCAAAAAGCTTCAATGCTTGCATACATGATTGCCATGCTTGTTTTTCCATTACATCGTGAATTATTGAGTGTGATGCAAAGGCAATTTGTATTCGACAGGTCAAATTCAGACAATCAGGTTTGGTGGATGCCAGGCTGCACAAAGCAAAAGGCGTGAAGCGTGACTAAACCCCACCATCACCCCTACTACTGGTCCATACTATCTTGTAATTTTGTCCACTCACTGTTACATGATCAGAGTTATCACTTTATTGGAGTTGTTTTTTTTAGCACAGGCAGCAAAAATTACTTTGATTTCTCTTTATACTACATTGAGGCAAACTGTACATAAATTTGTTATAACCAACTTTCATATTTGCTTCTCAGCTGCTCTAAATACATTTTCAAATGTAACAAGTTTGGCTCTTGAAAAATCTTGGTTTTCTGAACTTCAGGTAATAAATGATAAAACTTAAAAGAAAGGAAAAAGAAAAAAACCTCCTTTAAAATTTCCTAACTTTAATTGTTGTGTGTTACAGTTGATACAATATATATTTCTAATTCACAAAGCATCAGTTTCTTGATGAATTTTTTTTCTGCTTCTTTCTTATTTGGTATATGCATAATGGTTTTGCTTTACATGAAGGAACAAAAATTGCTACACCAATTCTGCAAGTTATAGCAAAATTGGTTTTGGGCCTATTTAGGAATAGTTTTTTAACACCAATTTATTTTAATTTTAAAATGTCCACTAAGAATGTACAAATAAGTAAAGTGCATTATTTTCTGCGACCAAAGAACGTTAGTAACTGACATGTTATGATTTTTATGGCACAAACTCTTGGACATAAGTGCAAATGAGAAGGTACTACAACTTCAATTCAGTTCATTTTTTTAGAAAAAAATTGCTTTAAAAATAGATTTTTTAAAGAGGCTATCATTTAATTAACCCTTTTTGATGATCTTTGAACTGCAAGACCAATTCAAGTTCCTGAATAATTTAATATCCCTCTAAATATTTAAGTAAAACATATGAATCAATTTATTATTAATGAATTTTATTTCATATGTGCAGATTTGCAGTGGATGGAGATCAAGTAATAGTAAGTGGTTTGTATGCAGATTCTCCCAATGCTCTGGCTAGAGAAGCAGCCTATAGAATTTTCCTATACCCTGACAAGCACCAAGAATATCTCCTGGAAGAAATGCTTCAAGCAAGGCATGAGTTGGCCAAATTATGTGGTTTTCCAACTTATGCACACAGGTTTGGAACTTGTTTATTATAGAAAACTTTGTGGCCATTTTTTACTATTAAATGCAGCATAAATGCTGCAGTAGCTAGGAATGTGATTATAAACCAGTTCACATAATCCTTATTCTAGCCTTCTGTAAACATTCTCCATGAATTCTTTAGGATGGATAATTTTTCTAAGGGAAAAGCTTTCCATTAGGAACTTCTACTTGCAAATTGTTTGTAACCTCTTGTGCGTTCTTACAGGTTTGTGTTCCCTTCCATTATCTAGATATGCCTTTGTAGGCAGTGTAAATAATGTTTGTTTTTGGAAATTTTAATATTTGTTCTTTTATTTCATTTTTTTGTGTGATCTTTGTCTAAGACACACACTTTCACAAGTCTACAACATATATGGATGACAAGACTTGTGTTATGTAATATAATGGTAGTTAAAAGACTTCTTAATCTGATGACATGCCTGAAAGCATGTGTTCATTTATTTTTTCCACCTATTTAATGCATTTAAGGTGTGGTTATTACAAAACTTTTTAGGAGTTTTCTTCATATTTACTTTTTAGTAATTTTTTGGTATACATTGTACAAGTGAGAATAAGTATAAATTAATAAAAAGTATTAAAACATTTATTATGGATAAAAAAAATGTTTCGACAATGATCAGAATATTGTGTGTTATAGAGCTCTGAAAGCTAGCACAGCTGAAACTCCTGGGATGGTCACAGAGTTCCTAAATATTATGTCAGAACAGTTAAGAGGAAGAGCAGATAATGATTTCAAGACAATGACAGAAATGAAAATTGCAGAAAATCCATATCTAAAGGTTAGAACATTATCATTTTTTGTGAAGAATCATTATTTTGAACATATCATTAAAATAAAAGTTATTTTCAGGAACTGGCACCATGGGATACACCTTACTTTACACAAAAGGCAAAACGTGAATGGCTTCAGGTTGGAAGTTCCGAGTTTTCTCCTTATCTTTCATTAGGGGCATGCATGGAAGGACTGAATAATCTCATGAGACATTTGTATAAAATTAATTTTGTGAATGATGAATTGCAACCAGGAGAAGTATGGGCCCAAGATGTGTATAAATTGGCAGGTAATGGTAATGTTTCAATGCTCTATCATTTCAATTACTTACTTTTATTTGCCGATTGCTGTGTTTTTAAGTTTATAATAATGTTGTGGAGTACTCCCATTTCTGCATAACATTTATTTTTGTTTTAACTGAAGAAAAATTGTCCTTAGAGAATGTGATTTTGAACAAAATGTAATGCGTGTAGTTCCATAGGCAAGGGCTTCCAAAATCATCCAAAAACATTCTTACCTCTATCATTCCTTTTCAAAAACAATTATCAACTTTTTACTGAATTATCTAGGAAGTTAATATTGAACTTGAGTATGAAAATAAAAAGTGAATGAAAGTAAATTTACAATTCCAACTAAAAGTGAAAAAGTTCAATGACAATAGACTTTAATATTCTTTTAACAATAACTTTCATGATGACCTGAATTAATGTTCTCTCAGAATCTTGTTTGTTTTGATAATGTAAATAGCCATGACACTAATTTCAAGTACCTTTCAGTTATCCATGAAGAAGAGGGTCTACTTGGCCATATATACTGTGATTTTTATGAACGGCCAAATAAACCAAACCAAGATTGCCACTTCACTATTAGAGGTGGGAAGGATCTTCCTGATGGGTCATATCAGGTACATCAACAGTTGCAGATACCATGAATTGAGAAAAAGACGAGAGATTGAATTATTGAAGTAGTCCATGAATATTATAAATACAAAATAAAACTAGAAAAGGGATATTATAAAAGTTGTTAAGCGCTATTGATAAAATTTAATATTCAAGATGGAGGGTGAAACTGGACAAGAAATAAAAAAAAATTCCAAGGCAGCAGTCAGTGTACTTTCTTTCTTTTTTTGGATATCGAGGTGGAATTTGTGATGTATAAAAGAACAAAATGAGTTTACATCAGGTACCTAAAGAATCCCTCAAATGAAAAATTCTCTGTCTCAATATATTATGACAAACTCATTATCACTCTCAATTCTTCAAAACTAAATTTCTTTTTTTTATAAGCAGAAATTTCTTTTTAGTATTTATTTTCACACACAATGAAACCTATTTGCTTAGTTCTAAAGGCATGGATTAATTTATATGTAAATATAATTGCTCTGCTGTAAAAAATGAGATTACTGTGTAAACGTATATCATGAGTGTGGAACTAGTGGATATCTTAAAATTGGTAAAATTGTTAGATTAGGAAATCAAATGAGATTTTTTCATTAATTTTTAGATGAAATGATTGTAATATACATATCAGTTTTTTTAGAAACTTACAGAAGATTAAAATACATTACAAATAAACTATAGGAACAAAAATTTACATACTGAAGATAAATGAGACTGTATTCTCTTGCATTTCCATAATGATATTCAGATGATTCAATCGTCGTAGTAGAATGCAGAGATTGGTTTTGTGTTACATTTTTCAGAACACAGGTGTATAAGTAAAATAGGTAACTCATTGTACCTTAAAACCACTTTTAGTATTATTGTTCTGAAGAAAAGTATTAATTTGGCTACAAAAACATTTTGTATCAACATACATTTTAATTCCAGAATCCAGTGGTTGTTCTAATGCTGAATTTTCCTCTTCCTCGATGGTCATCTCCAAGTCTTCTGAGCCCCAGTATGGTCGACAATTTATTTCATGAGATGGGCCACGCTATGCACTCTATGCTTGCTCGCACCAAATATCAACATGTGACTGGAACTAGGTGTAGTACTGACTTTGCTGAAGTGCCATCTGTACTGATGGAATATTTTGCTGCTGATCCTAGGGTAGGAAATGTTTACATGGAAAATTATGATATTTATATTTCCTATTTTATATCATCACTTATTTTCAGGTTGTCCGAACATTTGCAAAACACTTCCAAACTCAAGAAAAAATGCCTGAGGATATGTTATCTCGTCTGTGTGCATCTAAGCATCTTTTCGCCGCATCTGAAATGCAAATACAAGTCTTCTATTCAGCACTAGATCAATGTTATCATGGGAAACATCCTTTGCCTGGAACTACAACTGAAGTGTTGGCTGCAATGCAGAAGGAATATTATGGCATTCCATGTGTGTCAAATACTGTATGTTATTTTCATGCTTTATGTCTTAATTCATACTATGTCTATCTTACTAACAGTACTTACTCTTTTTCAAATGTTTCAGTCTTGAGAGTATAAGTACATTGGCTGATTATTTTCTGCTCTTTTTTCCTTTTCTTTCCCTCTAATAAACATTCCCAAATTTTCCATTCTCATGTCACAGAATGCACTTAAATAAAAATCTTTTTATTCTTTAATTTCTAAATTGTCCAATATCTCTAACCTTAATGAATGAACTTGTTGTCATACATCTCTTCAAAATATTTTCACAGATCCTGAATGAGACAAATTATCCCTGCTATATTTAATTCTCCCATTTTTCTGCCATCCATCAGATTAACAGCATTCTTGGTGGCTAGTTCCCTCTTTTCGTCACGTTGTGTTGGTTTTACACCTTTCTATGAAAAGTCTTTGAATATATGCTTTCAATCATTTTTTTTTTTTTT